TGGGGAATGGGGCTGGTTCTCCCCCAGAATCGAGGGGAGCAGGGCTGTTGGTGTCCCCCCTCCCTGGGGGACGTGGGAAGGGGCTGGTTCTCCCCCAAACTTGGGGGGAACGGGACATGGGAAGGGGCTTGTTTGCCCCCAACTCGAGGGGAACGGAGCTGTCGGTGTCCCCCCTCCCTGGGGGATGTGGGAAGGGACTGGTTCTCCCCCAGGCTGGGGGGGGGAAGGGATGCTGGTGTCCCCCCTGCCCAGGGGACATGGGAAGGGGCTGGTGAGACCCCCAGACTTGAGGGGAGAGTGGGGCTGCTGGTGTCCCCACTGCCTGGGGGACACAGGAAGGGGCTGGTTCTCCCCCAGAATTGAGGGGAGCAGGGCTGCTGGTGTCCCCCCTCCCTGGGGGACATGGAAAGAGGCTGGTTGTCCCCCAAAATTGAGGGGAGCAAGGCTGCTGGTGTCCCCCCTCCCTGGGGGACATGGAAAGAGGCTGGTTGTCCCCCAAAATTGAGGGGAGCAAGGCTGCTGGTGTCCCCCCTCCCTGGGGGACATGGGAAGGGGACGGTGAGACCCCCAGACTGGGGGGGGGAGCAAGGCTGCTGATGTCCCCTCTGCCTGGGGGACATGAGAAGGGGCTGGTGAGACCCCCAAACTTGAGAGGAGCAGGGCTGCTGGTGTCCCCCCTCCCTGGGGAAGGTGGAAAGGGACCGGTTCTCCCCCAGGATCAGTGGGAGCAGGGATGCTGGTGTCCCCTCTGCCTGAGGGACATGGAAAGGGGCTGGTGAGACCCCCAGACTGGGGAGGACCAGGGCTGATGGTGTTCCCCTCCCTGGGGGACACAGGAAAGGGCTGGTGAGACCCCCAGACTGGGGGAAGCAAGGCTGTTGGTGTCCCCCCACAGGAAAGGGCTGGTTCTCCCCCAAACTTGGGGGGAACGGGACATGGGAAGGGGCTTGTTTGCCCCCAACTCGAGGGGAACGGAGCTGTCAGTGTCCCCCCTCCTTGGGGGACATGGAAAGAGGCTGGTTGTCCCCCAAAATTGAGGGGAGCAAGGCTGTTGGTGTCCCCCCTCCCTGGGGGATATGGAAAGGAGCTGGTGAGACCCCCAGGCTGGGGGGGGAGTGGGGCTGCAGGTGTCCCCCCTCCCTGGGGGATATGGAAAGGAGCTGGTGAGACCCCCAGGCTGGGGGGGGAGTGGGGCTGGTTCTCCCCCAGGGATGGTACGAGCAGGGATACTGGTGTCCCCCCTGCCCAGGGGACATGGAAAGGGGCTGGTGAGACCCCCAGAATTTAGGAGAGCAAGACTGTTGGTGTCCCCCCTCCCCGGGGGACACTGGAAAGGGCTGGTTCTCCGCCCCCCCCGCCCCCCCCCGGCTGGAGGAGCTGCCGAGAAGGGCGAATCCCAGATAAGAGCAAAGCCCATCTGGGTGCAAACAGGCGGGGGAGGGTGGGGAGCAGCGATAAGAGCTCCCCTGGGCCTCCCCAGGACAAAGGCCTCTGCCAACAGCC